AGGCCCAAATTGAAAAGGAAATTGAAGGGGAAATTAAAATGAAGCCGGTAAAGTATATGATGATGAAGGGGTTCAGTCAGTCAGTACCATACATAGCCAACCAACCACTTTTACATGTACAAGTCCAACTAAAAACCAATCAACCATTTTATTATTTCATCACTCTTTTAATTCCATATCGGGCTTCGACATCAAAATCATGCCTTCCATGCGTGGATTAAATACGTTGTGCGGTCATTGGGTGACCAAGTTTTGTCCCGTGATGATAATAATCAATGGGCAAGTTGCGCTAAAACAGTGAAACAAAGCATTTCATGGTGAGGTATTAATTGCACAGATGATATTTTCCGCAGTGAGTGAACCCAATAATTATCTTTAATTGTTTCCCGAAAGAAACCCCACATACATATTTATTATTCGACATGATTTCATCACAGTTTGTAGTTCTTTTACACCGAGAAATTCAATTAACAACATTTCGAAAGCAATTACCAGTCACTATACAAAAATATATATTTATAAAGGTGACTTTAGGCATGGAGGTAGATAATATTTAATTATTTTCTTCTCTTCTCCCAGCCAGTAAAGTTTCTCACTTTTGTATTAAATCAAAGTGCTAAATGAGATGGAGATGTGCTGCTGAATACCAACTATGCATATTCAAGGTGTAAATATAAGTAAAAGTAAAAGAGCATGATATATTCTTTCGGACAGCTTTTTTCCCAGCAGCCCCCTGTGATAAGTCACACATTATTATGCACAACCACTCGAAATAGGTACGTAAAACATGTGCATATGATTTTACCTTTTGAATGAGAACGACACGCTTTTCAACAACACCACTGGTCATCACGATAATGTGTGATATACAAAATAATAAAGGTGGATTATTCAGTCAGCAAGAAGACTATGAAACAAAGGGATGAATACAGAACGCGATAAAAGAATCTTGTTGCAATGAACAACGAAACGCCGAGAGTGAAAGAAGACTGGACAAGATAACCTAACCAAACCACATTATCGGTCCAATGGACTCTCATGCTTTGCTGGTCTTTGTATGTTTTGTGAATTCTTGTAATGCATTAATTATTACAAAGGTGAGATATGGAAATAAGTAAGCGTCACATTTTTTGTCCCGGTACAAAAGACGGTTGTTATTATTGTTGTAAAGGCTGTCTTCTACTAATTATGTACAACATGATGTTCTTCCAACGATATTTCGACTTGGACTTAAGTTTCTTCACAAATTTATGCACACATTTTCACCTCATACACTCTTAGAAAACTGGTATTAAATCATTACTGACCGGAATACATACATGGCTCCGGTAATAACGCGGATTACCGTTTACTCAAGTGGTAGGAATGAAACATATACCACTCAAAAACAAACTGTTACCAATTCGGTATGAATTTACTACCAAATTTACTACAAGTATGTGACTTGACCAGATTTTTAACAGTGTATGTAAATTGTGAAATAGAAATTTCATCCGTTTTCGTCATATTTGCACTCCGTGCTTTTGTGGACGATTGTTATGTCAGTGATTCATCTCGATTTATTTCTTCTTCTTTCGTTGTTGTACTCTACATAAAAGTAACGAGCTAACCAGTCTAAATCCACCTACATACATGAATCCCTCGCATTCATCGAGGGTACATCGTACAGTGAAGAAATAAAGGATAATAAGCATTTTACCTCCCGTCTGTCCGAATATAATAAGTACAAGAGGGGTGTAAATATGCATTATAATGCGCGTGAATAAGAGAGCATTGAGTCTCAAGTTGGGTCTCTCTTCTCTGCCAAAGAAGAGCTTTAGTCTGTAGAGAATCGCATTATGTTGTGAATTGTGTCATATTGTGAATTTATGAATACTAACTGAACTGAACCACGCCAAGCGTAAAGCTCGCATCCTTATGTTACTCATTTTGTCGATTTTTTTTACTGCATAATAAAATTATTGTGGTAAGTAAAAGCAAAAGGACTTTTTGGTTGGAGTTGGACACAACAAGAAGGTAAAGAATTCTTCATTCTTGTCGTGAAAAATGAGTATAAAAATATATAGTAGTTGGGTTTTAAATTGAAATCCTTAAATGGTTTTATGGACTATTTTTACATTTGATGGCAATGACCAGATCAGATTTACATAAATTTTATTCGGGTTGGTGTAAATTGTGGTTAGCAGGATGTCAAGATTTGAACACTGTTATAAATCTGGTATAGTCAGACAGGTATTGATTTTCTCGGTATTAAAATTGCTACCGCTTGGTATTAAAATTATACCGGATCGTAAAAATTTGCTACCGATATGGTAAACTTTAATACCGAGTTATAACTACAACCTATTACTTTTCAATTACACTTTAGCAAAGCCATATATGAATACCGTTTGGTATAATTTTAATACCGAATTTTTAAGAGTGTGGAGATATGCATGGTATAGATTTATTTATATATAGAAAATTTCTAACTGTGACTTCATAATTTCAATAAAAGGTAACATTAGATATATTAAAATACCATAATTACTTCTCCTTAGGTGCTTGTTATTCTTAGCAAATTAGCCCATTTGTCCACCCTTTATTACACTGAAAAATATGTATTTATATAATACTCAGCGCTTACCCCTTGTCTCACACAGTAAGCTTCCAAAGTCGTCAATAAATAAAACTCCAAGAATTGTTATCGATCCCTTCTTACCTGTAAAACCTAAAAAAAAGTAGATCAAAAATAGCCCCAAAAAGAGAACCAGTTGGTTCATGGGTCGGTTAAATTTAAGCATTTCTTTTGTCATTGGAAGCTTAACTTTAACAAGAAATTTCTTCTTTTTGAAGCTTAATGGACACGGATATGTATGTACGTGTTCCTTTTTACACATGTTATACCACGTCAAAATGACATGACATGACATTTGAATAACCTGCCCAAAGCATCCCATATTATTGATACAGGCTAAATAACAAACCAACAAAGTTTGACAACTCGTGGTGGTCGTTTCGTTGCTTTGCTTTACAACAATCGTAATCATTTACACGAAAAATAGAATTATTCCGATTATAAAAAAAAATTAGACCACGCACTCTCCACATTTGACTGCTGTAGGTCTTTTTAATTTCTTTTTAATATTGGACACCACCACCACCACTTTGTGCATTTAAATGGGATCCGTTTCTCTCTGATTGAACGTACTTGACTTCCACTTTTCGAATAAGGCTTCATTTTCACTCAATACTAATATGAAAAATCCATTTTTGACGAGAGGATAGACGGACGGAGCCATTGAGGAGGGCAACAATGGTAAATGCACGTAAGCCAGGAATACAAATGAGGACAATGTTGAATGTAATTGTTGCGCTTGAAATGAGCACAAATACAAATAAAAGTTTACAAGCGATAATCTCATCATCATCGTTTTTAACCATTTACAGCCAAACTAAAGCCAAGAAATAATCATCATTGTCAAAACTACAATGGGGCAAATGGAGGATTGAAATGCATTTAGTAGAAGAGAGACAGAGACTCTGATTTTGGATTAGTTGCTCACAACATTAGACTCAGTTTTCATTCTAGTCCAAGTGTGTCAAGTCAACTTATTTTTAAGCTGGTTAAAATATTTTCAGTCTTAAAAAAACGGTCAGAAATGTCAAAATTCCTCCATAATTTCCAGGAGTTTCCTAAAAATAAACTTCTTGTTCTTTAACGGCGACAGAGAAACGGGTCTCCTTAAGAAAACAAGCAGGCAAGATGTGAGGGGAACAATGCGAGCGCAGAAAAGGGTTGAGATGAGAATTGGCCGGATTCCTGGCTTTTTTCTGCCAACCCGATGGGGAGGAGTGCCCAAAGATCCGTTCCACCAACCGACGACGCCAGACCCTCCCTTCTTTTCTCTTAAATCACCATTTACTTTATTCAGCTCTCTCTCTTAGCACACAACACGAACGAAGTTGTTGTGTGTATCAACTCGACAATATTTTTACAACCTGGCTTGAGATAAGCCTGCGAGTGAGTATTAAAGCTTTGCTAAAATCATTTGCACCTTTTTATGCAACACGGCGACACAACTTGAGAGGGTTGGTGTGTAAAGGAACGTTAATTGCATCTTACTTGCGTAAATGCGACTACTACGACCAAAGTCTTGCATTATATGGATTGCATTGCATCGAAAATAATTCAGTACCGTGAAAAGAGATGAGAAATGGATCTATATGTTATGATGATAATGCGTTTACTATACTATCGCAATGGTGTGTTGCATGCGACAGCACTATCCAAAGTTTTGTTAATCTTGGCCATTCTCCGCGAATGAAAAACAACATTGTGCCGACTACATTGGATGATTATGACTATTCAAAAGAAGAGAATGTAATGAATGCAGTTTTTTGTGCGATATTATTCTTTCTTAAGTACGTGCATATTTCATACCGCATATGCAGTGACTTTTTTAGAATATTTCAGTTTCAACATATTTTTTAAGTACAGATATTACATCGAAATGTGGGAAATTATGATGCGGTTTACATACTTTGTCAAATGTCACACCGTATCGAAATTGAGACAGGAATATTTTCCATGTAACGTTATTTAGTGACGATTACACAAACGGCTACAAATTCATTATAGACTTACCTTTAGACAAAAGATGATAACAAGGGATTACCATAAGCATTCTGAGGATTCGAGGAGGCAGATTTCATTGGACCTGATTCCTGCTCATCTTCTTCAGATTCGAGATGATACTAGCGAGATAGAAACAATGGGAGGAATAAAGAGCTTAGAAGGATTGGTTGTGCCGTGCCCCAACCAAACAAAACCAAGCCATCGGAACCAGATAGGAATCTCTCTCTCTCTCAAAAATGGTCTATTCTCTATCAATGCTAGCGACCAAATCTCTGCTAAGCTTAACTCACGGTAATTCCTACAATGCTTTAGAAGAGCTGCTTTGCTTTAGTGAAAAAGGTACCTTCTCCTCTCTCAGATTTTGAGCATTTTGTTGGGACAAGCTTCCACAAAACTCCATTCTCTGCTCATTCTCAATCTGTCCACGAGGGTAGTTGTACTACACGCTCCAAGCTCTCCTTACACGGTCCTTGTCGTCGTCGTCATCATTCCCAGTCGTGGTCGTAATAATACCTCCATTTATCCAGTGTCTGCATTCACTCACTCACAGTGTCACACACGACATTGAAAAGTGCACAGAGGAAATAATACAAGCATTATTGAAAAATAGTACAGGTTCAATTTCAGGATTGAAATTAAAAACAAGTGGTTTTGCAATATATGAAAATAAACTGGCTAGTTTTGTGACTTTTTTGGATATTCGTACGAAATAGTGTGAATTTTGGGAAAAAGTGGTGAATTCTGTAAAGTTTGACATTGTAGTTGAAACTGTTTTAACGTCTCAAGTTGAGATTTGTTTGTGATCTCGTGCGAATATTATCCGCAATATTGTGGATTTAATCTTGAACTTTTAGTGTTTTATAAAAAAGCGTCAAAATTGATTCCTACTTTGACCCCTCGGAAGCGTCTCACCATCATCATCACCGCATAAAAATGTGTGACGACGGCCTTTCCGGATACAATTTGTCTTCTCGTATCTCACATTCCCTCGGGGGAAGTCCGATGCTTGGTTCACTCGCTGCAGGTCACGGTCTCACCCCACCCACCTCACTCATGGGTCATCACGGGATCGGCTCTGCCCTGCACCACCTCCACCAACAACATTCCCATCACAGTTCCCAGCATCAAACGACTGCTCACTTGACCCCACCCTCGACGGGATCCTCGTCAGGGTCGTCTTCTGGGCTGATGAGTCCTCAGAGTTCGATGGGCATGGGGATGATGGGAGGTGGTAAGAACCATCACGGGGGGAAACAGAGCCACAGTCCGGGAGGAGGTGGGGGCATGGGGGGACTCGCCGGTTCGGGAGATGACCACATTAAACGCCCCATGAACGCGTTCATGGTCTGGTAAGTGAAGAATTTTTTGTAATATTTTGTTCGAATGGAGTGAAGTGATCTGGTTTCGCATGATGTTATCTAAAGTCTACATGATAATTATAATAATAAAATGTCTGCAGGTCGCGCATGCAACGGAGGAAAATCGCTCAAGAAAATCCAAAAATGCACAATTCTGAAATCTCGAAGCGATTGGGTTCAGAATGGAAATGCTTATCGGAGGATGAAAAGCGTCCCTTTATCGATGAAGCGAAACGTCTCAGAGCTCAGGTACTAATCAAAACTCGGTTATCATTTTTTCCCCAAAAGATAATGGTAATGTGAGCTTATCGAAATTTTACGTTTTCGTATATAGCACATGAAAGATCACCCCGATTACAAGTACAGGCCACGAAGGAAACCAAAAACCCTGAAGAAAGAGGGTTACCCATACTCCTTCCCTTATCCAAGTGTCCCCATGGATGCTCTCCGAGGTAAGCAAAACCATCCTCTTTTTTTATTCACATCATGGCATCTCTGTACAAAATGACTCCATCAGTTTCACTTAAGGGTTAAAAGTTTGCATAATTTTTGGCGAAACGAGTTTCTCACTTTGTTACACACGATGGACAATGAGACGAGATATGCATAATAGCAAATGTAACAAAACTGGTCATTCTTAAATATGATGGGTACACCATCTTATCAGATTTAAGTGACATGATAATGAACCGTATTGTAGTTTTTATGGTGAATCACCTTCACTTCGTATTAATCTCATCGTTTTATTCCAACATAATGTAGCATTACACTAGAATGCGTACACAGTGTGGTGATGTGTGCGGTTTTAATTTACTTCTTTTTTTGCCTCGACCTTGTCTCATTATTTAAATACCACCACACCACAACTGTTTTCGAAACTATTTTAACCCCTTTTGGGCACAATTCGTTTGATCTCTTCTTTGATATTTATGTGATCTAATGCGCCATAAAGTAGTTGGGTGAGTAGTTGGGTTTATTAAAATGTCGTGGTGTCGGTAAGCGATGGGGCATTGCAAGGCAGATAGTTTTCTAACTTCATATTCATTTCATCGTCATCATCGACCTCATGAAGGAACATTCCACGGTATAAAAATCACACCAAAGTGTTATCTTTCCACGAAACACTAAATATACGACGAGTGGAGGAATTTATAATGAGTTTTACCCATTTGAAAAGAAAGTCGAGCAAGTAAACCAAAAGTTCCGTGGGTTCATTCATATCATTATTATTCGACTTATTTTTCATCATTCTCGTGTCAGTTGCAGGTTGTAGGTCGTGGAATGTTAAATTCCTCAGTAGTTTTTTTTCAACAAATCTGTCAAACTCACCCATCCCATCGAGTGAGCAAAAGATGCACAAAACGTGTGAATCTGCTCGCATGAAAGCTAATGAAGACATTTAATTTACCAACACACACCATCCATTATTAGATGAACTGTGTGTGAGAGACCCCATTGACACTGCTCGGACATACGCACATACATACCTTTTCACTTGCTTTCTACGTACGTAAAGTCAAGCTGCTGCTGAATCAGTGCAATTCGGCACAAGGGTTAATTTATTTAAAAAGTAAAATGGCTCTCTTACATACCTGCACCATTCTTCCGAGGAGGGAGGTTGGTCTCCTACAAATAATATGAACTCTTGCCTTGTGGTGGCTGCTGCGGTCACGGTTAAATTTTTGAAAAAGCAGACAAGACAAAGTAAAGTATGTGTTCGAGAAACAAATGGCAGGCAGGCAGGCATGCCGGGATTTTGTTGAGGACAAAGAAGGGAAGAAAGAAAGAATATAATAAAAGGTGAAGTTAAAGGTTGGGTCGCATTCGGTTCGGATTTTGACTTATTATTACCCTCATCGTTTCCTCAATGGTGAATGGGAATGTTGATTGTAAAAGGTGTTTAAGGTAACTGCCTCTCTTCATATGTCCTCGTCGTCGTCGGTAAATTCGTAGGTAAATTCCCTTTCATACAAAATAACCGTTTAGCTAGTGATGTGAAGAAAAGGCTGCATTCATAACAATAATTTCATTCTTTTCGCCTTAATATTTAATTCTGTGAGCAAAGTTATTGCTAGAAAGTCATCAATTCCACGAAATTCTCAATTTCTCTCACTTTGTTAAAACACGGGTGGTGTATTAACTATTGCATTGCACATTGTGCACTGTAATTCTACTGCCTATAAATACGTACATAATATGTGAAGGGTTTTGCTGGTGGGTCTTAATATTAAAGCACCAATATGACATTCACCCTCTCTGCAGGCATGTCGTGTAGTAGTGACATTTATAAAGGAAAAATAGTGGCTGTATCAATAATAATAATAATCCTCAATGAACTCAAGAATGCAATCGCAATCCCTCAGCAGATCATATCCCTTTGGTTTTTGTGGATCGCATTTTTTTGAAATGTTGAATTTGTGCTCAGCATGTCTCTGATTTTTTCACTGCATGATGCAGCAGTCAATCCACCCAAAAATCCTGATCTCATTCCTCTCTTCTGAAGAAATCAGGCTGGAGAAGAACAAGGAGATTAAGCGCCTGCCATAATAAACCGTCTTATTATATCAAGTTCAATAATACATACATAAAAGTACTCTTCAATCCAACATGTTCCTTAAGTTAAGACTGGATGGATATTAAACCATTAGAAAAAAGAAAGGTGTTTTTATTACTCGAGAACCTATTTGACTTTGGGATTTGCCTTTTCTTATAAAACCCTGCCAGTCAGCGTGGCTCCGATGAAATTCCTGGCTACCGTTTACCTTTGTGGAAATGATTTCGATTTTAAGTTGGCTGAATAAACCCACCTTGGTCTTCTGCCCATGTGTCCTCTCGCCTTCCACAAATCCGTGTTGTTTCACATGTTCTTTTCTTACCTATTATGTCCGTCCGTACGTTCGTATCTTCTGTGCCCTTTGCTCAAGAAAAAGTTGGTGGCGTGGTTTTTGGAGGACCACATTCCTTCTCACACTCTAGCGCCTTCCGCAGCAGCAGCGGAATACAAGTATTTATGTAGATGACTTGAGCTTACTTACTTAATAAGATGTGTCCCTGGTTTTAAAGTCGACGACTTGCGTCCAAAATTCTATGCCAAGAAATACATTTCTTCTCACAGCAGTAGAGTCACAAAATAATTTTTAAGGAGGATGAATGGATGGACCAAGGGATGAGAAGAAGAAGAAGAAGGTAGACTTTCCGTCTTGTCGTGTCACTTAACTTATTTTTTCCGAGAGGAATCCCTCCCAGTGTCAGGTATGTACTTATACATACATATTTTGTACTTGCGGGCGGCTACGCATTTCCCATACCTTTTCAATTCTTGAACCCCGATTGAATTTTGTGAATAGGAAGAAAAACAAAACGAAAATTCCTGCTAGGACATACATTTTGATACATTTGCTTTAAAAATTGATGCTGAGACCACAAATTTATCCTGTTTGCATTCCTTAATAATTAAAAACACTGGGAAATTGATTCATTATTTTGCCACGCATTTAGCGGCGGAGAATGGGGTTGTGGTCTCCCAAGTAATTATTCAATTGCATCATAACTATAATCAAAACTTTATTCAGTCATTATTTCCTGTGATTTACATGAAAATTTAGTAGCCATTTATGTATCTGTGTACGTGTTCCTTCTGTTCGTTTGCGTCCACAGAGTACAAGGTCTTTATGCAAATAATATAATGAACACTTGAATAGTGTGTGGATTATCCAGATAAATATGTACAATTGCACTTTTGAATAGATTTATTAGGACTGGATTGAAATTGAATATTTGACTGGATGGATTGAATCAAACGATGATTTGTTTGTTTGTGCGGTTTATATTTCTATCTATTCCTATTTTTAAATCCATGTTTCAACCCTCCTTTGCAAAATGATTTGTTCATGTCAATTACTATTCATCATTCAAATGTGGTGGGACAAAAGTGATGAATTATTAATTAGTATGGACGAACCAACCAGTATTAACAGACACATGGATGTATGTATCTCGCATCAAAAAACTTGTTAATTCTTCCTTTTCATTCTAAAAAAATGACAGACATTTACAAAAAAAATTGTATTGTAATTGAAATGAAATTCTCCCAAAATTTGCACCTGAATCAAAGTTTTTACGCAAATAAGAAATCCAGATTTATCCGTACAGGAAGAACCTTCGCACTTAAAAAATTACCACTTATTTAGTTGCATATATGCACATTTGTATAATTTACCTTGGCAGTGACAGGGCGGAGAAGGGTGAAAAAAATGTACTGAATAATAATATATACAAAGTTTTCCAAGTGTTTGCCACTGTCCTAGGAAATTAGCTGTCATTAAAGCAATGTAGAAATTTCGGGCTATTTTTACTCCCAAATATCTCCTAATTTAATGACATGATTAATCTATGCGTAATTACTGTCAACCATCCATTTAGTTATTCATCCTCCTATTTGAAAAAAAGTACACGCATTTGTAACACACAACATATTCAAGTTTCTTTTCTCTCTCCTCTCACACTGTTGATAAGTACACAATGAAAAAAAATAAATCTAAACCTTGATGCAGCAAATTGAGTCTAACGGTGCATTCAATTGTTGTCCTTTTTACTTGAACAATTGAAAACCAAAGAGTCTTCTTCTTCTTCCTTTTTATTCGAATTGGACCAGACCAGGGAGTGCATGTCATTGTGTTTTTTTTTAAATAAATTACATCGAGGAAAATTAAAATGCGTGTCCAACCAAAAAAGCAGTTGTTATTAGATAGATGCACATCCATCGATTGTTGGTGGATTGGAGGTGAAAATCCTGCCGTAGAGAAAAGAACAGGAACCACACAGATCGAGCAGAGACACAGAAAATGGAAATGAACTAAATTCGTCGATTTATAATTGACAAGCATTCAACTCAACGAGAAGGGACAATGAAATAATGAAATGGCGTATCAAGCAGGAGTAGTAATGGACCAGTAAAGTGTGTTCGTTAGAGGAGAATGGTCGTTCAAATTGTTTATTATTAGATGGGAAACGATTGCCTGGACGAGGAGGAGATGGGATAACATGAGTAATATCATCTTTAGTTCGTCGTGATAACACCTACAAATGAACCCTTATTAAATACGAGGAATGGTACATGAGATGAGACATTTGACAAATAAGCAGAACCAACCCAACGGAATTGGACCTTACTCTTTCTTTTTTATCAATACTTTCCTTCCACCAACTATTTTGATTCTGCTAGATTAGATTCAGTGAGAAATATTTGTCACGACATGAACACAAATTCCGAACGAAATAGGGATCGAGTCGAGTCTTTGGATACCGATAGATAGCGAATTGCACCATATCTCAAATGTCAATCCAAAATTTACATCCATATCCATCCATACAATTATTATATTTATTATTATCCGTACATACCTGTGCGTAACGTAAAGTATGGAGCTTGACAACCCAAATAGATGTAAAT